GAAAGCGGGGCTGTCCATCATCCCTCAATGGAATCAATCGCATCCTCCCGGTTCCAAACAGGAGCGACGTGTCTCTGCCTCAACCAATGATGAAGGGGAAGGTGGGCGTGGCCAATGATGTCCCGGTTATGAGGGCAAACAAGATGGCGGGGAGCGGTTTCCCTCTTTCCCCGCGATCTCAGTTGCTCTCCCTTTTCCCCTCAAATTCGGTATAAGGCGTTTGTGGAAGGATCCCTGCCCCGCATCTCGGAGGGCTCCAGGCCTTTCTAGTTCTGTCACCCAGCTCCCGCCCAAGCCGGTCACCTTCATGCGATCCTAGGGGGACCGTGAGGAAGGGAAGGGGAAGGAGGTTGCGACTGCGGCGGCACGGGGTGGGTGTTGGGAGTAGGGGGTGGGGGAGATCTTGACTCTCTACTTGCCTGGGCCGCCGCCTTCTTCTTCTCCGCGGGGGCCCCTGGCTTTCCGCGGGGCGCTCAGGATTGCACCGTCGGCGAAGGGTGGAGGGAGGGAAGGGGGGACAAGATGTCGGCTCAGCCCGTATCTCCTCAGCGCCGCCCCCTCATGCCCGCGACTCCCAGCCCGCTCGGCCCCGCTGCCTCTTGCCTCAGTGCCTCCGCCGCGGCTCCGGCTCTTGTTGCGGGGTGGGGGTGGTGGGGGGAGGGAGCGAGGGAAGGCAAGATGGAGGTGGCGGCGGCGGCAAAAAAAAAAAAAAGAAAAAGGAGCGCAGCCCGGCCAAAAGATGGAGAGGAAAAGGGGGAGAAAGAGAGAAGGAGGCGGCGAGGGAGGGGGCTGCAGCCGCGCTCGGCTCTCTTTCTCGCCCCCCCCCCGACAAGGACCGCCCCCCCCCCACCGCTTTTCCTCTCCGGACATAGAATTGGGAAGGCCTGGGGGCAGCGGTGAGGGGTGGGTGGGAGGTGACCGAGATAGGCTAATAAACGCTGTGTGGTGGCGGCTGACAGACACTTGGGTGGGGGTGGGGGGTAATTCTTGAAACTGGCTGCCTCAGGAGGCCGGTTTGGGGACTAAGTTGAATTCTGGCGACATGCAGGGAGGAAAAGTGCCGGGAATCATTCTGAGGCAGCAACTGAAGAGCTTCTTCATACCTGATCCAATTCCTACAAGGAGAGTCACTTCCGTGTAAGAACGTGTGTATCCCATATGTAGAGTGGAGCATGTGTGCAATTTGCTGCAGGCTTATGCTTTGGGAGGCCCTGCCCAGCAAAATGACAAGTGTCTGAATATGGCCTGGTGAACTACACGTGATGTTAACAGTATGTGCCACACTGTAATAAGTGAGCCTGTTTCTCATAAATTTAAAGAACCTGGGTCTGAGCCAGCCTCCTCAATCTGCCCCAAAGGTGTTTCCCTCCATCCCATACAAACACTGGCATTTTAATCCAATATATGTTGGAAAGCACCAGGTTGAAGGTGGCAATCCTGGATTATACCATTCAGGTACAGGGAAAGAGGAAATATGTGTAGTGCTGTGCTGTTTAAACTTTCATTTGATTTGTGAAGAGGCTGGATTTTGACATTATGTCACATACGTTGTACAGAACATTTTCCCAGTTGCTAATTGTTATAATTGCAATAAATAAATTGCAGCCACATACTGTTACAAGGATTCCAAATATTGTATGAGTTAGCTGGTGACATAAAGAAGCCAGACAGTATAAGCTGTGTGATTCATATGAAAAAAATATTACATTGCAGTGTGGTGCTCAGTTCATGAATGCTAAGTAGAAGGAAGAGGAAGAACTTTGGGTACTCATTTTTATGCACTTATTAGCAAACTACTGCATAAAATGACAAATTGAAATTGTTACATAGTTTGCTCACCAACATGCTTATACCTTTATTACAGGCATATACCTTTATTAAATAAGCAAGCTACTGCATAAGAAAAAGATGAATTGAAAAATTGAAATTGTTATATAGTTTGCTCACCAACATGCCTGTACCCTTATTACAGGCATAGTATAATTATTTGACCAAAACTACTCATGCTATTTACTGAATGCAGATTCAAAATGAAAATGCACTGCCTTAAAAGCCAGCTGCTATTATAGGATGGGAAGTATTCTCAGTCGGCTGTAGTAAAGTAAATATGGATACCAACTATCCAGAACTTGCACTCTGGCAATTTAGAAATCTAACTTATAAATAGTTTAGATTTTCTGTACTACTTTAATATATATAATTCTGTTTAAAGTTTGTTTTATCATAACCTCTAAGTTGTTTAAAATGTTCCACTTTTTGAGTTCTGCATTTTTATGAAATGCATACAACTTAATAAAAGTTACTTTAAAACTAAAAAAACAACCTTGTTATTTGTTGCTATACTCCTCTCACCTGTATTATTTATTTACTACCGGTAGAATGATATTTCACCTTTTGTGCAAGAGTTTATAAAAGGCACACCATATAGGATGTATTCTATCCTTCTATTTCACACACACCCCCAGCAATCACCCTCTGAGATATGATGTGCTGATAGCAAATGATTTCCTCCAAATCAACCAATGAGCTTCAGTAGTTGAGAGTTAAACTCATTTCCTCAATGCCAGTCCAAAAATTTAAATCTGATAACCGCTTTGGAATGATTTGCTTCCAATGCTCTGAAACATTATGGAAGTACACATGAAAATCTTCCACTGATGCAATGGCATAATTTAAGTTTCCTTGATAGCAGCTAATAATTGTTAATACTTATATTAATAATGGATTGAAAGTGTTTTTCTCATAGATATTTCTCTTGAAGTAAAGTAAAACTAAAATTAGGTATTAAAAGGATAATTTTGAGTTCCAGATACAGAGTAGAACAAAGAGTTCAGAGAAATATTTCCAAATAATTTCTGGAGAGAAAAGTCATTTCCAAAATAAGATTGGTTTGCAAATCAGGTATTTTTACTGCCAAGGTGATAATTGTTTTATGAAGAGTAGAATTAATACGTCGACTTGAGTCCTGCTTCCTCATTGTGTGGTGATAGTATGTGTCCTTGAAAGAGATGAGCAAAAAACACCAGGAGTGTACATTATGAATATAGATTCCTAACAAGTTCTTCAAAAATAAGAAAGCAAACAAGTAGCTGTATCAGGCCACTTGAGGTGGATGATCACTTTAGTGACAATGGCAAAGGCATTTTGTATTGCATAAAAGAAAGCTAGGGTAAATTGCTGTAGTTAACCAATAAAGGCACAGCGATAGTGTAATTCTGTGCTAGAATTTGAGCTGCTTGGGTCAGTTGGCATTGAATATGACCTAAAGAAGGGCTGAGGCTCTTGGAGTACTACTACCACCAGTGTTTGTGGCGGGGTTAGACAAAAACCTTAGGAATATCTAGTTGCTGTTTTGGCTTATTGGCGTGCAGGAAAAGAAAACCCAAAGCTAGAGAGACATTATAGTGGGAACTGAACACAAAGCATAAACATGGGAAAGTTCAACACAGTGAAAGATGAACTGAATTGGCTTCATACGGACATTTTAGGCATTGGGAAGTGTATAATTTAATTTACTACTAGGGGCACAAAGATCAAGTGTTGCTTTAATAGGAAGGATGGAGCAAGAATTATTTGGGTACAATGCAGTCAGTGGCTGAATAATATCAGGCTTCACAGACAACTCTTAACATGATAGAGGATGTTTATGTTCCAATCACTGATGTAGAAGAGGTTCGATGTATTTTATGGTCAGGTTCAATCTGACATCAAGAAAACATGTAAGGTGTGCTTCTACTGGAGACAAATGCCAAAGTTGGAAATCGTAAAGAGGAAAATCTGAAAACATTATTTGCCTAAGAAACAGAAATGGATCTGAAGAAAAACTTATCAGTTTCTGCCAATTGAATGATTTCATCGTTACAGTTTTCCAACAAGCCTACATATGTGTACATTATCAGATGGAATATCTAAAAAGTGGCTGTACAGAAGTTTTATTGACTTCTACAGGGAAGTGTAAAAAGACTGACGATATTAGGTATCAGATATTAGGAATGGAAAAACAAAACTTCCCAAATAATCTGAACTCAAATGGAGGTTCCATGCTTGAATTGGTATACTAAAAAACACCACTTGACAGATAGACCTGGCTCTCTGGAGGAGTCTAATACTGAGAAAGGTGGAAGAAGAGGGAAGAGGACAACCACCAGCAAAGTGGATAGATTCAATTTCAGTGGCAATGGGTGCAGCTTCAGAAGATCAAATGGGCAAAATGGGAAATAGATCGTGCTGGAGAAGTTCTATGTATGAGGTTGCTAATAGTCAACACTGACTTGATGGCACATAAGCAAAATAATAAAAACTAATACATTAGTTGCATGATGTAAATAATTAGTGACAACTGTCTGAATATATTTGGAAATCATGTCTAGAGTTTTGTTGTCTTTTATCAGTACACAATATATGACAAATGCAACAAGTTGGATGCTGCTAAATTTTAATGCTTGTTTCCAGGAGCCATTTTCAGACTAAAGCAGCCTCATGTATACATTGCAACTATTTGTAATTATTGGAACATCTCAATTTAGAATCATTAGTTTTTCTCTTTCTGAAACTATGTTACAAATTAGTAATAAAACAGACACTGGAAGGAGAACAAAAATGGTAAGATTTCAACATTGAAATATATTGCTCACTAATGATAACAGAACAAAGGGTTCATAAAGAGAATAATAAAATGTTTAGAAAGTTTTTTAATGGAATCTTCCGCATTTCCAAGTAAAAATGAGCAGTGAGGAGACTTGATTACAAGACATTCTGCAGTTTGATTTTCATTTTTTTTTCTTAGCATTTCAAATTTGCAGAACTGAAAATAAACATGGATTATCATAAAATGCTTCTAAGAATTACATAGTATGAAAGATGGGAATTATCAATGCTTAAAGATGTAAATACTTCCCGTTTGCAATACTATATGGCTAATGTATGGGCATTAAGAAGTGAGAGATCTGTTTCAAATGTAAAATATTTAGTCAGAATGAATCACAAGGAACATAATGTAATTGCTCTTTGCAACTGTTCCTTTATTATATAAATATTTTTCTTTTTTGAAACATGCTTTTTTATTTATTTGGAGATATTAGGAGAAAGAAAGAAGATTTTATTGACTTGTAGAAACATTTACTTAAACTTTTTAGACCATGTTTATGGAACCAGTTACAAAAAGTACAAGAAAAGGGACAAACATAGCCATCACATTTTATCACAAAGAGATTTAATGAGAATCACCTCGACTTGTGCCACTCAAGGTTGTTGTTGTATCACTCTGATGTTCAAAGCAAAGTTAGCCTCTGTTGATTCACTATTATTGTGCTATCTGTATATGGCCTTTTTCATCCTGATTTATATCTACTCCTCTTTAGGATCAAAACACCGATGGTTGTGTATCATTGGAAAGGTCGATCAGCACTAGACATACAAGAGTCTATAACGTCATTCCACTTCTCCTCTTGGAATCTTTCCGAGCAATTGGGCTGAATGACAGTATTTCACTGTAAATCTGCCCTTTAAAGATAAGCAAAATTTACATACATGTAAGTGCATTTTTGTTCAAACAATAAAGGCACACTGAGAACATTTTAGTAAACTATAACCAGTGGAGGACTGAATGCAACCGAAAATACCTGTTGCTTATCCCAATATAATTTTTAAACAGCAACAAAAACAATAGTAGCAGATGGCAACACATAGGCCTTCCAAAACTGCTCCGTTTTTTAAAAGATGGTAAAAAACCAATTCTTACTAGTAGCCCATTCTATTGATTTTCCTTTCACAAAGAGATGGGTAATTTCTCCTGCTGTATTTAAATGATATTTAAGAACATTATTATAGGTGGCATTTTATGTTACTTTTATTAGCTATGGATTTAGATTGCTAGCTGCTTTTTAAAACCTAACTTACATGTTATAACTTTATGAACCCACTATATTGAATTGTACATTAGACTTATACTGCTTTGACTGCCATCCTGGAGATAACATGGCTAAGAAATGCTTCCGATATGTGAATACTTAATAATTAGATGTGGACTAAAAAAATGGACCTATCATTGTTAAACATCAATTTATTAGATTTATCAGTTTATCTCTTCAGTATAAGTGAAACCTGTTCTAGCTTGTCATACCATATCATATACCCATGAATATATCCACTGCATGGTGGGCTGTTCCCTGCCTTTATTAAGATTTTATGTGAAAGGATTATAAATAAACATCAGCTTCTTTAAGCTTTCAACTTATTTTTCAAACTAGGCCATTACCCGCTGGCTCTTACTTTTATCTGATAGATTCATTTCTTGCTGCATCTCCCCAGGCTTAAGCAGTTAGGGTTATTTAATTTTTAACATTATAAAATGTTATATTATGTGAAGAATACTCCAAGTGTGGTTTATTTATAAATTCCCAATGATTTTTTTCTATCAGTCAGAAAATGGAAGAGTGCCTTGTTTCCTTTTTTACTTGCTAAAAAGATACCACCAACTAGTTCTTAGCTATATTCTTTTTGGGCATGAAATTTAATATGCCCATAATTGTCAGCTAGGCCAATAACCATCATATCCTGTTCTCCACACAATGCCTAAGTCTAATAGGAGGTGGGGTTTTTTTTTAAGTATTCTGGTGAGTTCTGAACTACTTATGGAATATAATTTGGTGGTGTCTTAGGAAAGTATTCCTTTCATTTCTCATTGTTTTTGCTTTTCTTTCCCCCTTTTTAATACGCCCTGGTCTTTATTCCTTAGGAGACTTATTTCCCAAGTGCTTCTGCTTGACACTCAAACTAGGTTTAGTTTTAAACCTAAAATGAGAAATGTGTTGGTGGATTAAGTGTCCCTCAACATGGTGACAGCGAAATGCAGTGTGGTGGTGTTTCCATATTAAAGTATGCTGAATTTTTGTGTTTCTTCTTACCCAAAGAATTATGCAGTAACTAACAGTGGTGAAAAAGAGTGGGGGAGTTACCCACTGAATTTTTCTTAGTATTGATTGGTATTAATATTTATGTAGACCAAGTTGCAGTCTGTACTCCTAGTTATGAATTTTATCTACTTCAGAGAGAACCTGTACTTCAGAATGTATTCAACATTAATATAGCTAGTTATTAGGTGTGCAGGAATCGGAGGACTTAAGGTTCATTAATTCTGATGAGGATTGCAGTAGGGCCAAGGATATATAAAAACTGTCGAGCTGAACTTACTTCTCCATTCATTTACTGAAAGCTTTGTACTCCCTATGGAATCATCATAGGAATGCTGGGCTTCTGTCTCTTCCTCAACATCTCTGAATGGATCAAAGTAGGAATGAGCCAGAGCTTGGGTTGCTGTGAGTCGTTTTTCTACATCAAGCTGCAACATTTTGTCGAGCAAGTCCACAGCTACAAGGAAAGATTTAAAAGTTGTAAAAATTAAAGAAAGCTATCATTGTTTATTATATGAAGGACAAATCTAAAAGCTGAAGATGGCTGGCACACTAAATTGGCTACATTTGCTTCACTAAATTGGCTACATTTGTTTTCACATTTCAGTAAACAAATATAAGTAGCTCACTACTATAGTTGAAATGTACTGTAGAAGGAACTTGAAGCAATATCCTTGAAAAACCTCAGTACTAAATGAGCCCAAATATAGGTCATGTCATTTGACCTATATATGATAAAGCTTACAACATAGTTAAATTAGGTAGAAGGATTCAGCTTGATGGATTGTAAAGTGGCCTGTAACTTCAACAAAATTTAACTTAAAACAACTTTGTTAAAGTTACAGGCCATTTTGTAATACATCAAGCTGAATCCTTCTATCTAATTTAACTATGTTATAAGCTTTATCATTCGGACTTTGAGGCAGGATGAAGCCCAAGTGACTTGACATATATTTGTAAATTTTACCATTACCATTACATTCTCATTATGGAGGCAATGAAAAAAAAAATTTCTCACTACAAGTAGAAGTTTTGGGGAAGTGCTCTTATCCAGACCATAATGGGGAGGCAAGAGTAAAATTTAGAAATATGTAGAAAATGGAAAATACTTTTTATTTGAAACTCAAAATAAAATTCAAGTGTTCTTGAAATGAAACGGTGAAAATGGGACCGCCTAATGTTCCCTTCAAAATCACAAAACTCTGCCTCACTTATTTTGGTCATGTCATGAGGGGGAATTCACTGGAGAAAGCAATTATGATTGGAAGAGTTAGCGGTAAAAAAAAAAAAAAAACTAGGCTGCCAAAGAACATGATGAGTGGACAATATCAAAGAACAATATGAGTGGACACCAGTCAGAGTTTAGAACAGGGGTGTCCAACCTTGGCAACTTTAAGACTTGTGGACTTCAACTCCCAGAATTCCTCAGCCAGCTTTGCTGGCTGAGGAATTCTGGGAGTTGAAGTCCACAAGTCTTAAAGTTGCCAAGGTTGGACACCCCTGGTTTAGAACAACTCAAAGAAGTAGTGCAAGATCAGAAGACGCAGAGAGACCTGGCCCATAGAATCGCTAAGAGACAGGCATGACTGAATGGATAACATCATCATCATTATCACCATCAATCTTGTTCTCTTGTTTTCTTACCACAAACCCGAGGAAAGTGCACTACAGTGCATACTGTCTGCTACTAGCCAATTGGCAGAAAAAATGATCAAGGTATAGTTTAAAAAAAAAACACAAATCTGCCACATGAAACAAGAATACAGCCCTGTCCTTATCCACTGAGAAGAGAGTTACAGTTGTTTACAATATGTTAGCAAAATCTACATCTTGTTTCAGCAGGGAAGTTTCTTTAAATAAATCTTGAGGTACTGAGGTAATCTCTAGTATTCCTTTCAATTAATATTTTTTCCAATCTGAAGACGTAAGGCCACCAACTATACAGATTCTATTTCCATAAATTCCTAATCCAGTTTCCTTTCAATGTGTGCCTGCCAAACTTCAACAAGCCACAACAACATTACTTTATTTGTTGTTAAATTTATTCATGATTATATTTACAGTATTTGCTGCCCATCCCACAGTGACTCTTGCATGTTGCAATGTGATAAAATTATGCTTGCACCTTAGTGTTTATGTAATATCAGTACTGTTAACAAAACTTGTGTGAGAAGTACGCAGATACATTTGGCTTGCCTGTTTGCAAAATTAAGCACAGTACACATGACCCTTAACTGGGACCCATTCACTTGTAAATGCTAATTTCCCCTAACAGTTTTATTTTAAAGAAAAAAAAAATCAGATTGGGCAATCGTCTGGCTCAGATCAATCTTTTGTGATTGACTCATGTGCTTAACTACTTCTTGACACTCACTCCCATATCATCAGATCCAGTCTAAGCAAATTGTAGCAGGGGCATGATTGGCCCCTGGTGTCATACTGGCTCAACCAGAAAACATGTGGGTAAGAAAAGGTAGCCCCCTGTCACAAGGCACAGAGCAGCCCAGCTGGAGTACTAGCATTACTCGGAACACTCCACCAAATGACACTACTTGAAAGGGTAAAATTTTACTCTGGGATCAGATCCAAACTCTTGCAACTCATGTTTTGTTTTGAATACCAAAAATGCAACTTGTGACTGCTAAGCTGGAGAAGACTGGCATGTAATATAATATTTACTTTAGAGTATTTCCCATTATACTCAAGGGAATTTATCTTCACAACAACATTCAGAGGGTAATGCTTAATTACATTTTGAAGATTTCTTTGTTATCAAGGCCACACAGAGTATGCTGGCTCGTCTGGAATCATAAAAGAGATTGTTTTGACATGCTCATCTGTCATCTGAATAAAAGTTAAATAATACATTTCAGTTGTATAATCTCTCTGAGGAATATTAGTTTTAGCGTAAATTAAAACATATAAAAGAACTTACCCAGAGGACTGGCTTTGGGTAAAAGCAGAGATAAATCCATTTTGGGAATTTTAGGAAGTGTCTGTATGTAGTTTTTAGCCTAAAAGAAATAACATTTTCATAAAGCCATAAATTTCATAAATGTCACCTTGAAAAGTTATATCACAATCAACTCTTTATAGATTGATTAGAAGCCCACATATTGGCCATATACTTCCTTTATACAAAGTACTCAAAGGACCACATTAGTCTCCTTTGAGCTGTGTTGTACATAAGACAAAGTAATAATTTTACTGTAGTAAGAATAATGATATTGTTCTGTACGAGCCATTTGCATACTTGTAAATACCGCACCCTGATTGGTCAGAGCGCACGGCAACCTGATTGGCCGAGCAAGCCGCACTGATTGGAAACTGAGTGGAAACTAATCGCGGGAAATTCAAAGCGGTGCCATTGGCCGCGGCAGCCGCGGCCAGGGAAATATAAGCCGCCGCCGATCTTCCTAAGCCGAGCCGATCTCGAGACTTAATAAAGAGTTGAACTAAGTCACTGGCTCCTGAGTCTCCTTTCCCTGCGACGGACACGACAGATATGACTTTATGGTTCCTAATAGTTCCATTTCTCTTTATATCAAGATGGAAGCTTGTAATCTAATGTATAACATGCAGCCTAATTTCATATAATGAGAGTGTTCAGACAACAGACAATTGGGAGAGAAACTATTCAGCCCTCTAAAAAGAGTAACCTCTTACCCCTGCTAGTTAACTGGGTAAGGAGGGCAGTGTTGAAAATGGGATTCAGGAGGAGAAAGAAAGAGCATCTTTCGTCCATATTTGGTTTTGGTGCTGCTCATCTTAACAGCAATGATTGACACTTCAAAAAATATCTTTATGGTTCAGACCACAGTTTCTGCCTGTTTGTCCTGGCTTCTCCAAGTAAATAAGGTGCAACACTAAACAAAAATTAAACCAAAGTAGGATTTACTATCAAATAAAAATGCATAGTACTCCATCTTCAATTTATGGAAGTGAGACATTTCAATTTAGTGATCTCTGAATATCTTTGCATTTTCAAAAGAAGAATTTGTCCATCTACAAAGATACTTTGTCATGCTATGTTTATAGCTAGGGCTCTCCAGGTTATTTTGGCCTTTGTCATTATTTTTTTTCGATTTTTATAATGCAATATCCTATTCAAGACAGGAAAACCTTCCTGTACCGGCAGGGAAGCCGTCTTTCATCAGGCCGTGTACAGAACAGACAATCCAGGGCCATTTTTCCCTCCCAATTCTGCTTTAGAGAAGGAAAGTGCATCTGCTGAAATCTTTCTCCAGCTGTTACAACCCCAGTATTTCATTTAATTTCAGATTTGGTGCGCAATGATTTTTGCCAGGAGCTGAATGCACCCAACAATCCTCAACAGCGATGCAGGAATAAACAAGTACTAATGAATATTTAAAATGCATGTTATAAACCTCAAAGGCTATTAAAACAAAATGCTGGTATAATATCACTCTGTTTTCTTATCAGAGAAGCTTACAAGGGTGACAGTTTAAAGTACTAGATTAAAGCTTGGAAGATACCCATCACTTCAGTTTCCTCTATTTTATCTGACAGGGTTTGTGGGAAGATTAATGGGGCTATGAGAAAGCACATTACTTTGAGTTAATTGGAGGAGCAGTGGGATACATATGTACAATAAGAGTTGACATCATTTATAAAAGTTGAGTAGAAAGTTAAACTTTCTAAAACAATAAGAACATATGAGTTTGCCTCTAAAATGCAAAATAGAGCATCTTACCGCTTTATCTTCCAGTTTTTGCACAAACTCCTCTCCAGGGCTTCCTGTCACTTTCAGGATCTGGGTGAGCTGATCAAGATCTGGCAAGCTGAATCAAGTACTACCAACAGAGCCAGATGTTGAATTTGACCCCCCCACAAAAAAACCTCTTCATAAATGCTTCCATTTACCATACATTTATCCTATTTTTTCTATAAAAGGGCAAGGTGCTTCCGTATGTTGTTGGCATCAGTAGGCTGAGAGATACTGAATCTTTCCTGCTAGATCATTGATTGTTAGGGAGAATAAAGCCTGCAACCCACAATCATTTGTGTTAAAGTATAGATAGTCCTCAGTTTACAACAGTTCATTTAGTGACCATTCAAAGCTACATCGCTGAAAAGCGTGACTTATGACCATTTTTCACACATGACCATTGCTGCATCCCCATGGTGATGGGATCAAAATTCAGATGCTTGTCAACTATATTTATGATGGCTGCAGTGTCCCGGGATCCCCTTTTGCGACCTTCTGACAAGCAAAGTCAGCGGGGAAGCCAGATTCACTTAACAACCGTGTTACTCACTTAACAATTGGAATGATTCACTTAACAACTGTGGCAAGAAAGATTGTAGCATGAGGCAAAACTCATGTGCAAATGCCTCACTTAGCGACATACATTTTGGGCTCCATTGTGGTCGTAAGTTGAGGACTACCTATAATATGAACAACTTCAGAAGATCAATTTATATCAGAAATCTATGAAATCTATGTTCTCCTACCTAAAAATTTCAATGCCTTTCCATCAACAGAGATAAGTGTGCAATGTGCATGTCAGTTTTCAGACTGCTGAAGCGATCGGCAAAAGATCCAAACTGCCTCACCTGCATAGAAGTAGCAGGCCTCTTCCCACTTCCTAGCCCCCTCCACCATAGGCACAATCAAGGGTTTATTGACTATTCACAGATGCCTTATTTGAAAAAACAGCAGTTGTTAGAATTCTTGTGTATACTTGTGTACCGTTTAGTGAATCTTGGAAGTCTGCAGAGAAGGAAAGAAGAAAGAGGGGCTGCTGGATGTGGTGGCTATACTTATAGAAGCCTTTATAAATGTAAATGTGGTTGAACTGCATCATTTCACAGAAGAAAAATGTGTTCGGTTTAAGGAGCTGCAAACAGAGCTGTCAAGAAATTGAGATTCGATGGGTAAAATGTGAGGACAATTAACCAATGGAACAGCTTGCCTTCAGAAATCATGGGCTACTCCATCACTGGAGGTTTTTAAGAAGAGACTAGACCAGGGGTGTCCAACCTTGGCAACTTTAAGACTTGTGGACTTTGCTGGCTGAGGAATTCTGGGAGTTGAAGTCCACAAGTCTTAAAGTTGCCAAGGTTGGACACCCCTGGACTAGACAGTCATTTATCTGAAATAGTATAGGTTCTCCTGCTTGAACGAGGGGTTGGACTAGAAGACCTCTAAGGTTCCTTCCAGCTCTATTCTATTCATTCATTCACCTTCCAAAGCCAAGCATGACTTTTCTCAGGATCATGCATCAGCTGCTTGAGGGCAACTCCATGAGTCTAGGAATAGAGTCAACAGCTTTACGGTGCTGCTGACAAATATAACATGCACCCCCATACTTGTTCTTAACTCCATTTTTCCCACCATACCCTGATTTCTGCCCCATCTGAAAGAGACAGGAGCTATATTGGTGCTCAATGAAGTAATGTTTGCTTTTGAAAGTGAAGCCTTGCCCAATCTATTATATATTGACGTTAACACAGCTAAAGATCCACCCGTGTTGAACATCAAGCATCAAAGGGAGAGAGAGAAACATTATATAACCTTGTTTGCCAAAACGTTGCTGCTATTAAAATAAAACCCTGTAATATGTGAAAATAGATTTTTAGATTAAACAGAGCTCACAGTACTTATTTTTGCAAGGGTAAGTATTCTGAATTTTCATACTAGATTTCTTCCTACTGGTAACCCTCTATGTGTTCAGATTTTCATTCCAAACTGTGAGAGCCTCAGTTTCAGACCGGGGCACAGAGAAGGATACAGTCTTTACCCTTAAACAGAGTTTTTCCAGTCAACATTTCTGCCATGATACAGCCAACAGACCAGATGTCCACTGTTTGAAAGAGAGAAATATACAAGAGAGGATTTAAGGCTAAGGTTTGAAATAGCAGCATTAGAAACTTATACACATTTTATGCATGCTTGTAACAGATCTGCTTCTTTACAAGTTACATTATTATACCTTTAGCTATCAGATTTGGGCTGCAAAAATCCAGACAAGTTGCAAGAGATATAGAAAAGTCTATATCTCTTGCAACGTGCTGCCATCTTGCAGTCATCCACATTTTTTCCAATATAAAGCTGATAGTCCAACTTGTAATATTATCTTTTATTATTCTTATTTAATGGTTTTGAAATCCTCTTTAAGTGCTATGAGGCAATGAGCTATTTTGCACAGAGGAAGATTTTCTCCAACTTGCTGCACACACGTGCGCATGCACACACACATACAATGGGCTGTCTCTAACCAGCAACCTAGCCAGCAATTCTCTGATCGTGCTTGTAGAGGATTAAGACGTTGAAGAGCAATCCAATTTGAGGACACTATAACAGGCAAGTGTGTATTCAGATTTTTCCCATCCTTATTTGGTTACACAAAATATATGGCTGGCATTTATGTTTTTTTTTAGATATTTTAGCTTTATTTTATTCAAACAAAACAACTTTTTCACGGTAGTAATAGTTTTGTCAACAGCTGCATTTGAAGCACGAGTGTCCACATATCACAATGCAATTGAGTTAGAAATTACTCGTGCTGATTAATTAACCAGGAGACACAGAACAGGATTCTGTTCTATTCTCTGCAAAATAATTGGACTGAATTAATCTGGGTTTTAGGAATTAATAGCAGTGAAAATAAAATTATGTAACACAGTCCATGGTGGCTGTCTGCAGTTTATGGAAGGTGAGAATTTAATTTAGATTAAATATTTCATGCATCTATCTGGGTATAAGTATCACTGAAAAGAATACAACTTCTCAGTGAGCAAAGTAGGAGAAGCATGGTACTTTAATTAATGTTTGCTTGAAGAAAAGTAGACTACATACATTGGGCATATCATTTGCAAAGCTATATACTATGTTTTACAAAACAGTAATTATTGGGCTCATGCAGTTTGAAAGCCACAGCTTAACATAATTTGAAACAGGTCACACTGTGAGGGTTTGAATTGTACTTACTGAAAAAAGGGGGAAATTAAATACATTTAAAAATCACATAGAAACTCCAGAGTTAGCCAATAATCCACAACTTACCAAGAATTTCCCAACACCCCTAATGAATAAGTAATTTAACCTACCAGTCTGGTTGTAATGCATCCAGTTCAGAATCACTTCGGGTGCTCTGTACCAACGAGTTACAACGTAGCCTGTCATCTCTGTGTCTGTATGCCTTGCTAAGCCAAAATCCAAAATCTAAATACATGAAAAAAATGTTTTGTGCAGTGAGAAATTTACAGAACAGTGTTGCCATGTATCCAAAGCAATAGCAAAAAAAATGTTTTGTTTTTTAGAATGCTCCACAAAGTTTCTCCAGTTCTTCCTAGAAACAATAGATTGCTATTACAAAGCTTCTTTTTGACACAGTGGTGACTAAAAGCACCCTTAGTTAGCTTTAATGATGCTAGCTGAGGGCCTTTCCCCATTGTTGAGCCAAAGAGCAATCCACCCATCTTTGAGTCAGCAGGAAGCTACACTGGCTTGAAATGTGCTGCCTAATTACAATGCCCAGCCAGCCTCTGTTGCCATCTGTTCCAAGTCACCATCAACTTGTGTCGTCTTGATGTTGTGGGTATGGCACGTGATAAGCCAACAATTAGTTGATCCCTCTGGCTGTGCTGACCTCCCTCTTCAGTAGGTCACCAGTCACAGCACTGTAGCAGGACAATGTCTGTCATCTCTCCTATCTGTGCCCTGTCCTCTGGCATCTCATTTTATCATAATCCATATGGAATAATTTAAAAAAATCAGGCTGGAACCAGGAAGGACTCTGAGGGCTTTTTTTTAAAGCACTTTTTTTTTTTAGGGCTGCCCCCTTCTTCCTTCTTTAGATATACCACAAATGCCAGTTTTCAGTGTTCTGTTATGGGAGGCAAAAGAGGGGTTGATCCTACCATTCCATGCTAATTTTGCCTTGGATCACACCAGTAAAAGCATAAAATTAAAGAAGTTTCAATACTGCGCAATGCTACTGTGCAATTCTGATAAGCCAATGGCACTACATGAAGGTGTCCAGCGGTTACAGCAGAACTGATGCAGAAAAGGGTGACAGGAAGGGGGAGGATGTGCCTTCATCAGCTGAAATGGTCAATAATAATTCTCTGAATACATCTTTGGCCTCTGTCATACAGGGGTGGAAAAGCAAAACAAATTTTGCCCAACTTAAGACTGTCATTGGTTGCTGTTGGTATAAGGGGAAAACACTGCTTTAGCTGAGGATAATTTAAACCAGCCCCTGTCATGGGCTGGGGACAAGACAAAAACAACCTAATGAGAACAGAGAAGCAAGAGAAGTATTGCCAGGGCATGTTTATAGCGTGACTAAGTACAGGTGGGAAAGGCCTGAGCGAAACCAGTTCTCTTTCATTCTTTGAGTGTTATAATCTTATTTAGCTAACACTCAGATATTTTGCCAAAATCCATGTTCTAAAGATTTGCCAAGCCTAGCTATAAATCAAGGGCAGAAATTATAGCAATAGCATTTAGACCAGGGGTGTCCAACCTTG